GGGGGGGAGCCCCCGGCCCCCGCGTCCCCTTGCCGGCTGCTCCGGCAGCCAGAAGCTCTTCCTGATGCCCGGCCGGACCCTGCCTTCCGGGCCCTTCGCTGTACCTCCAGCTCCCAGCGTCCGTCCGTCCGTCTTCCCTCGCACCCTCCCTCCTTGTTCTTTCCCATTCAGCTTCCCTCTCTTATTGCATTGCTCCTTTTTCCCACCTTTTTCAAGATGGGAATCAAGATGGGAAACTTAACTGCCTCTGCGCCCAGCTTCTCCCGCCGTGCCGGTCTGTGCGGTGTAGCCAAGTTGCCAGCAGCAGGCAAAGAGGATCCGAGCAGCCAGAGAGCCCCGGGCATGTGGGATGAGACCCGTGAGCCGGAGAAATGCTGGCAGAACAGAAAACGTAGAGCAAAATATTTCAGCAGTCACTTCATCAGGGTATGAATTAACATGTCCTGAGGCCAAGCTGGCAGCGATGAATCAGAGAAGATGCAACGTGAACTAATATCTATGTACCTATTTTGTTCCAAATTCCTTGCAGCCCGTTTCTTGGGCAGCCTGCTCTCCATCTAGACTGGCATGAAGTACCATCAGGTGAACACTTCAGTAATAGTTTACGGTTACGCAAAGTGGGTGGGTGCAGACAACAGACTAATCTTCTGCAATTTTGGTTCACAGATAGCTTTTCATTTGGGCACAGTTTATTCTTGTGCAGGTAACAGCTGGTGTGTTGGTGAAAACAGTCTTTTGCTTGTTGTTAGGCTTATAAAACAAGCCTTTTGGAGAGCCCCGTACCCGAGATGCCTGAGCGCCACCTGGGTCGGGACTCGGTCAAGCAGCACAGAAGGAGTAGCGCCTTTAAAGTGTGAGGCTCGGCTGCCCTCGATGGCGGGATGCGAGAGGCCAGCTCCAGATAATCCCGCTACTTCCAAAGAACAAGCATCAGCAGCTGAGCCAGGGAATTCTTCTTTCTGTCACCCTGGTGCAGGGGAGATGAGATTTTGCATTCATGCAGCAGCTCATCTGTTGTTTTCCAGGTCAGGCCCATAGAGGAAGGATGGATCTCTACGACCCACAGGTGCTGGGCGTCGTGGTCTTTGGAGGGTTCGTGCTCTTCTCAGTCCTCGGGATAGTTCTGGTGTCCACCTTTTCGATGAAGGAGACGTCTTATGAGGAAGCCTTGGCAAAGCAACGCAGAGAGCTGGAGAAAGCCAGCCTGCTGAAGGTGGAGAAGAAGAAGAAAGAGAAGACTCCCGAGAAGAGAGGGAAAGCTAAGAAAAGGGAGGAGAAACCCAACGGGAGAATCCTAGAGCGAAACCTGCATCCCGACCCTCCAGAGAGCCGTACAGCTGCAGGCCCCGAGCCTGCGCTGCTCGTTGAGCCGGTGGTCTTTCGGTCTCCAGCAGTGCCTCCTTCAGCTTCTCAGGAGAACGAGCGGCCAACTCCCCTTCCCAAGGGCAGAGAAAAGAAGGAGAAGAAAGCGAAAGTGGAGCCAGCTGCCAGCCAGCCCGTTTCTGTGCCGCCCATTGCTGGTCCCTTGTTCGGCTGCCAAAGGTCCTGTGCTGCCCAGGACCCGGTCCCTGGTGCGGCTGCCCAAGAGCTGCCGACTGCGCCCCCTGCACCGGCCGGGGTCCAGCGGGATGCGCCGCCAGTCCTCTCTGGAATGGTTAAAAAGCCGGAGTCCCCCGGAAGTCAAGATGGCGCTCCAAAGAAGAAAGCCATGGCCAAAAGGAAAAGAGAATCCAGTAAGTGAGTGGCTGGAAATACTGCCTGAGGCTTGTGGGTAAAGTCCTTAAGTACGTATTAACCATTAGAGCTATAGCCCTCCCAGTCTCCGAGTCCTGGAGTGGGGAACCATGTGTCCCTTCCACGTTCTTAAGCACAGGCCATTAACCCTGCCAGTTACCATCTCCCTGCTTTTATTTACTAGAACATGTATTTGTTTTTTATTTACTTGAGCATGTATTTGTTTATCTTTATGCCTGTATGCCACTAACTATTCCAGCCGGAATTTCTAAGTAGCTGCGTGCGTAATGATGCAGCTCCGATTAGGAGGGTCTTCAGGAAAAGACGGACACCAAAAAGAACTTGCTGCTTGTGGTGTTTGATCTTAACAGTTCCTAGAATGAGGGTGGGCAAAATGTTCTCCCCACCCACCTTTTGTTAAAAAAGGACAATTTCGCAGCAGCAGCCTGGATTTCTTGCAAGCCCCGCGAGGGCCGGCAGCCGCTCTCTTATCCATTTCCTGTGAATGCCTGCGGCCACATGTGGGACCCAGATATGCTCTTTGGAAATGGAGAGGATGGTGGCTTCAGGCCAGAGGCTTCCTCTGCACCAAGGAAGAGGGGAACGGTAATTTCTGCTGGGAGAGGGCAGGGAGACAGAACCGCCTTTGCTCTGCTGGTGCTCAGGCTGCACCTCTGTCCTGCCCGACGTTTTGTGCATTGCTTGTCCTTCAGCCTGCGCCCCGGGGCAGCCGGGAGAGGGCAGTCCCTCAAATTAGCAAGTGTGCCCTGCAGGCCCCAAGGTGCCTTGCCTCTGGCACAGCTGGTAGATGCCAAGGGATTGGTACCCAGATGCCCTGCGAGATTATAGCGGAACGAGGAGCCACACGTCCGGCTGGTCTGGTCTGGACTCTCTCCAGTCCTCGGCAGGGAAGCGATGGAATCCTCTCCGACATCCACGTGAGGGTGCCGGGAGTGAGCGTGAGGTCAGGGTCACCTCTCGCCTGTTCTCATCTCTGCCTGAGTTGGGTGCTGATCTGGGGTTTGGGATCCGGAGCACTTGGAGCATCTTCAGGAGTGCAGTGGAACTCTGGGCAGTGTTCATTTACTTTACTTAGTATATTAATTAGACCCTTTCAAGATGCAGCCTTTCCTAGGAGGCTTAAAGCATAGAAGCACCTTAAATTTAATTTACCATTTGGCATTGCATTTGAGCTGGCTTACTTGCTGCTGTAGAAATATCCAGCAGCAGCAAATAACACGCAACATTTTCAACACACTCACAGCCTGTTGAAAAGGGCGTGCTGTGTAACATGGCACAGAATTGTCCCAGTCACCAGGGGCCTGGAGCGGCGCTTTCTGCATTACTTACGAGGTGGGAAATGTCCCCATTTGGCTCTGCCCGGGAGAGGAAGCCAGCGTGCGCGCCTGGGAGATCGGAGGGCAGGGTGCAGCCCCCTGAGCCCGCCAAAGGGATTTCCCCCACATCTTTTTTGACCCATTTTGCAGCAGGGATGACTCATCAGGCTCTGGAGTGGGCCAGTGTCCAAATTATGGCGCTCCAGCCACTGCCAGCATCTCCAAGTAAAATATATTTATTAGGGAGAGGCTCCGAAACGGGACGTGGCTTTTAAAGGAAACATCCACAATCTACCCACAGGGACTTGACAGCAGTCTGCTGGTGGATCAGCCTTTACGGGCGCAGCCTGGTTCCAGGGTGGAAGGGGACGGAGAACCTTCCTTGGGCCCACTGATGTAGAGATGGGTTATTTCTAAATTATGGGACGGGAGCAAGCAAGAGTCCCGGCCATTTCATGTCTGTCAAATACACACTGCCTGCAATACTTAACAGACAGTTGAATTCTTGCAGGTCCCGTGGAAAGGTATAAAAGCTTTACCTTCCCCTCCCTCCACACCTTTCCTGGTATATTGTGGAAAGACAAAGGGACTCAGTGGGCAGGTCAGGGAGGCAGTGATACCCTTCTCTACCCTTCCCCAATCCCCCCCGCCAGACGATCGGGCACGTCAGGCCGCAGGCCCCTCCCTCCCTGCTCCGTCCCCCCGCGGGTCTCCCAAGGGGTGCCGTGGGGGCGCTGAGTCCCCCCCGTCCCTGCCATGATGGCGAGTCGTTTTCAGCTCGCCTCAGCTTTCCCCCCGTGTTGTTTCGTTGTTCATCTGTTACCCTTCCCTCGGCAGCTTGAAACAGCCCCGCACAGTGCCTGAGCCAGGGCTGCCCAGGGCTTCTCCCGGCCCACTTTTGCCCGCAGAGTCGGGGGCAAAATTCTTGTTGCTGTTTACAAAAGGCAGCGCGCAGACTGCAAAATGGCCTTCCTGCTCTTGCCTCCGGCGAATCCGGCGCCAGCCACGGCCCGAATGGCCAGGCGCCTCCCGGGGCAGCCCTTCCCAGGCGCTGCTGAGGCCTGGGGTGGGATCGCGAGCGCTCACGCGACGGCCAGGTTTTCCAGAGAAAAGAAACCTCTCCCGCCCGCTGCTTGGCCATTGTTGCTAGCAGTGGCGGCTGCCTGGAAGCCGCTGGACAAGAGCGGCAAAGGGGTCGGGGGTTTCCCCTGATGCGCGGAGGTTAGATGCTCAGGCGAACCATCGTGGGTTACACTGGCCCTCCTCCTCGCCAGGGTGTCGTGTAACCCAGACTGAAGCCACCGTGACAAGCTTAGCCCGGGTTTACCCCACGCACTAACCCTCAGTGGCTAACAGAGTCCTGTAGGGAAGGATTCACACACCCACTTTGACTTTTCCGCACCTTGCTGCGGTACAGCCTGGAAGTGCCATTGATTTAACTGGCATTGTTACCGTTTGACACAAACCAGTGCCCACAAACCCGTCAGCACCATGAAGGTGCAAAATATTTCTCTTGTGGCACCAAAGGTAGGCAGGCGAACACGAGCTCGCACTCGCCGGCCGCTTAAGCCTTCCGCCCCTTTGTTGTGACCTGCGACGAAGAGCAGGGAGCCATCGAAACAGCGCCAGAATAACGTTGTGCGGAAGAGCCAGCTGGGACTGGGCTGTAAAAACATCCCGAATACGGGGGCAGCAGCGACATGTTACAGGGATGGTTTTTCTCTGCAGGGACTGGCAAACTGGTCAGGACGGAGAGCCAAGGAGCGCGCAATTCTAAAGGAAAGCGTCTTTCCATCTGCAAGGGATCCAGGGCTAGTGCAGGGATTATGTATCCAACAAGTTTGCCTGTGGGTTTTTGCGTACTGAATAGGAGCTGCGGTAAAAATCCTCTCACCATCACAGTGTTGAGTCTCACGGATGCATCAAGAGCCAATAAAATCCATTTCGGTTTCAGGTGGAAAGTGAAATCTTTGCTAGTTTGCTTTGGTAGCAAAGATGCTCTTCAGAAAAAGACAGGGAAGTTAGGCAAGCGGCAGAGTTTGGGGCGTTAACTTTGTTGCTGGAGAAATTATATTCATCAGTGCAAGTTCCATTTAGCCTTTGTCGTTTGAAGATCCAGATTATCCAGATTACTGGGCCCGCTTGGGTTTTCTTTGCTCAAACTGCCTCTTGTGATTTAGCTGTCTTTGTTTTCACTTTTCCAAAATACTTTTCAGACACGCTTCTAGTTGTTCTTAGGTCAACAGAAAGTCTAGCACCCACTGCCTTCTCCCAGCTTAATCATACTAGTTGTGTTTGTTGCCTACCAAAATATCTCAGCGGGGACTTCGTTTCCCTGGGAAAATGTATGCTGCGTTAGCCCTGTATCATCGCTTGTGATCTTAGGCGGTTCTTGAGCAAACAAATGTCAAACTCTTGATATCTCGCCAGCTAAGTTCCTCCAGGGATAATCTCCCGAAATCTGCTGCTGTGAGATTGATGTCAGCCACTTCCTCCGTGGTTGCCCCTACGCTGCGGAATGGCCTGCCAAGGAAGATGGGGCCGAGTCCCCAAATTAAGAGGGGATTGAAGGCGTATCTCTTCCAACAGGCCTTCCCAGATTAGTTCTCGTGTCTGTTTTATTCAGCATGTTGCTTTTAGTCAGCTTTAATCACTGTTGGTTTTAATTTCTTGTAAACCTCCCAGAGCCTATGGAAATGGGGCAGGATGTAAATATTAAGAGCATTGAATAGATATGTGTGCTATGCAAGTAAGAGTAATTTATTTATTTAGAGGATCTGTATGCCTCCCATCGCATAGCCTCGGGGCAGCTTACATAAAATAAAACAAAGCATAATACAACTACAGACTTTCCTTATTGGTGAGCATCACCCTCTCGGCTTGATGGCGATGATGGTGAGTTTTCTTTTGGCCAGGAAGGCGGGGGGATGATGCCACCCAGTGCTGAACACCCCCCCCCCCATGGCCATGTTCTTATAAGGGGCACACGATGGGGCGGAATGAAGAGCGCAGTGCTGGGGATATTTGAAGAGGCTGGGAAGAAAGGTGTGGGGCAGCCTGGAGGACGAGCTGAGTCGGTTCGAGCTGGCTGTAAAACCACCCACGCCGTTTCCCCGGGGCAGGAAGGGGCTTAGCTCTTTTCTTCGGCACATGAGCGTTGCTCCCTCTTCCCTAACGCAGGTAATTCTGACCTGCCCATTTGTGCCAAGTCTGGTCCTTCCCTGGGAGATGAACTGTGCAGCTTTGCCCCCAGATTTTAACCCACAGGGTAGACAATCTAATTGTATTTGGCTTGAAACTTGAATGAAAATATTGCAAAGTTAAGGAAGGCTTTGCAAGAAGTGGCCCCGGGAGACTCCGTACGTCGCAACGAGCTGTGGAAAGTTCTCGTTTTCAGTACCTGGGTCTGTATTATTGTTAGCAGAGTGTGCCTTTTAAAATGTGCAGCTTCTCTCCTTTCTGTAGCTGCCATGGATGATGAGGGAGCGCCCTGCCTTCCATTCAAGACCTTGATCTCCATCGTCAGTGGCATGGCGTTTGGTGAAGGCGAGGCGCAGCAGCTGATTGAAACGCTGACTGAGAAAACAGGAGATGTGCAGGACCCATGGCTGAGGGTATGAATGCGCCTTCTTCCTTATTTATTAGATTTATATCCTGCTTTTCCACATCTTGAAACTTTATACTCTGCTGCCAGTATGGATCTAAGCTTTGTCATTCCTCTCTATGGAAATATTTCAGAGCTGAGCGCAACTGAGTGATCCGGTTCAAGAGAGGGAATTAAAATGACTTCACAAAGCCGGAAGAAGTTGCCCTGTCTCTCAGCCAGGTGGCAGGTCACAGATCTAGGGTTGCGGAAAGAAAATTGGTACCTAGTAGTCGCCATGGCGATCAGCCTAAATCTCTCGGAGATGTGCCAGGTGGGAATCCATCGGACCTCCTCCGTTTGGCTCCCTGGCCTCTAGCCCGCTTTCTGCCTGGCCAGACTCTGCCTCGTGCTGAGGGCATCTGGCGGGGAACAGGCTCCAGAGGGGTTCTGCCAGTGCCCGTGTGACACGTGGGCTTTGCACACTCCGCCCAAAGAATGGCGTATTTGGTATACTTTGCACAGAGAAGCTGCCGGCATTCCTGAACACGCATGGGCTTGATCGCAACTCCGCTTGCTTCCTGGCCGGGGCTGAGCACGGGGAAGGCGTCCAGCGAGCCCGGGAGAGGCGGGTTCTGGGTGGGTCTTGGCCTTCCCCGGCTGGGTGTTTGGCTCGGTCGCGAGCTTCTATGGCTGCGTCTTCCCACATTCAGAAATGTGATCTGGACCACGGAAGAGAGGAGTGGCCGGGGGTGCGGCCTCTGCGTGAAGATGACCTTGGTTTGGAAAACTACTTGGCTAGGCCAGCCTCTCGTCTCAAGTGGCACAACACTAACCTGGGTTTCCTGCCTCTCTCCCTGGGGGCAGAGAAGGGAGGCCGTTCAGGATGCTGCAGTGTAGCTCTCGTCCAGCCAGTGAGACTGGTGTGTCAGAGGGTGGGGACTGGGGCAGGACACCAGGGCTCGGGCCACCGGGCTGGAGACCAGGTGGAGTCTGGCCAGGGAGGGGTCAGAGGCGAGGCGTCCAGGGACAGTCCAGAGCCCCGTACGGGGCCAGGAGCACAGCTGTGGTCAAGGAGCCGCCGAGAAACCAAGGACCAGGAAGGCAAGAGCGTGAGGAGCTCTCAGTCGGCCCAGCTGCCCGGTTGAGGGAAGGCAGACAGGATCCGAGGGCAGGCGGGCAGGGCAGGGCAAGCAAACCAAAAGCAGAGGGTAACCATTCGTGGGGAATCATCAGGATGGCGGCCAGTGACAAGCGGGGTCCCCCAGGGCTCTGTCCTGGGGCCAATCCTGTTCAATCTTTTCATTAACGACATGGAAGAAGGGGTGAACAGCCTGCTGATCAAATTCGCAGACAACACTAAAGCTGGAGCAGTGGCCACAACTGAGGAGCAGGTACTCCGGATCCAGAAGGATCTGGACAGACTGTGGAAGTGGGCAGGAGACAACAGGATGGCGTTCAGTGTGGATAAGTGCAAGGTCTTGCTCTGCTTCTGTGTCCATGTCTGTGGCTGCAGCATCAGCATCCATATTGGAGGCAAAAGAGGGGCAGTTTGTCAGACCCAAAGTGGCCCTGTACACCCCCTGCCCCCCGCCCCCCAACCACAGCAACAGACGGCTGTGTGACTCGCCAGCGAAGGCTGCAGGGCAGGACACGCAGCGAGGTCCTCTGCCTGGCTCTGGGGTTGGCGGTGCGGCTTGCACAGCTCCCGAGGCCCCTCTGGTGTCGGAAGCATCGCTTGTGGGTTTTGTTGTCAGTGAAGGCACGTTCGGAGCGAGAGCGGGGCGGCCGGGGGGGTTGCCCTGCCTTGCCCAGCCACTGCACTGCTGCATCGGCCTCTGTTTCCAGGGGGTTCAGGGGCCGTGGGCGGCACCTAGAAGGGTTGGCTGGATTAAGGTCAACACAAAAGGAAGAGGCAGGTGGAGCGCTCCGGAGGCGGAGGTGTGGAGCCAGACTTGCGGCACGGATGCCTGCCCGGATCGGGAATCCCGCCTTGCCTTGGAAGCGGCTCCCGCGGCGCCTGGCTCTCCGCAGCCACATCCCGGCCGAGCCTCTGCCCCCTTCTCCTGGCGCTGCATCCTTCCACTTGCAGGCAACGGAGAAAGGCAACCCGGTGGCTGTGCTGAAGCGGCAACTGGAAGACCGGGAGAAGCAGCTCGCGGTGGAGCAGGAGAACACCGCTGCCGTGAAGGCGAAGCTCAAGGAGCTGACCAGGGTGGGTTGAATGGCTCGGGGGCTGGGGAAAGGGCCAGGGACGTACGCCTGAGTCCTTGTATGAGCCAGGTGCATGGCTGCAATGACTCCCCCTTTTGAAGAATCCTGGGCTTATCTAGTTTTTCTGGATTGGGGTAGGCTAGTCTAAGAACTGTGATCAGTATTATGGATAGCAGAGTTAATAATGCTCAAAATTAGACAAAAACCTTTTGTCTTGTATGACTGTCAGGACCCTTTTATGACACTGTTGAAATGCTGGCGTGCTCCTCTACCTAGACAGACAGACGACTCTGTCTGTCTGTAAATGTTGCAGAGCAGTGTTAATACGCATAACTAACTCTAGCGAAGCTCCCTGCGGCCAGCTGCTTTCAGACTTGCCAGTGAGAACCGAGAGGGGTTTGTGGACGTGGAGACGCGGGAGCTGAGGAATGGAGGTGGGACGGGAGAGCGCAGTGCCCTCAGCTTCTTCTGGATCGCCACCGCCCTCATTGGCAGCCTGTCTGCTCAGTAGGCAGCCTAGTTCAGAACTGGGGGCATCTCTGAGCAGGTGACCACCTCGGTTCATGGTCTCCTGGCACCAGTGGAGGGAGTCACTCCAGTCAAACCGGGACCTGCCATACTGGTCCTGAGGGACCCGAGGGAATTGCAGTGCTGGCTGAGGGCATCAGAGGCAATGTGTTCGAGGCCCCGGCTCTCTACCCTTTAGGCTTTCGCAGAACCATCAAACAGTAGAGTTGGAAGGGGCCTACAAGACCATTGAGTCCAACACCTGCTTAACTCACAATTAAGCCCTCCCTCTGGGAGGACTGCCCAGCTGCCTCTTGAATGCCTCCAGGGTGGGAGAGCCCCCCACCCCCCACTCGCTCCGTTGCCATACTGCTCGGACAATCAGGAGGTCCACCTGGAACCTGGCTTCCTGCTCCTTGAGCCCGTTACGTTCTTTCTAATGTTCAGCCAGAACCTGGCTTCCTGCCGCTTGAGCATTGTCATTCCATGACCTGCACGAGAAGAGATGCTGGCCTTCCTCTCTGGGAGAACCTTCAGGTGCTTGAGGAGGGCTCTCCTGTCTCCCCTCAGCCGTCTCTTCACAAGGCGAGGCATGGCCAGCTCTTTGCATCTCTCCCCATTGTGAATCTCTTCTCCTGAAGGAACTTGCGGCGGAGAAGGCTAAGAGTGTCGCTCTTGAAAACAAGTGGAAGGCGCAGCTGCTGCTGCATGAGCAGGAGATGTCCACCAGGCAAGCAGAGATGCAACAGCTGCAAGGAAAGGTGGGAGAAATAGCTTAGCTCCATTTAAGACTGGCTTGCCTGAGCTTGACATTTATTTCTGTAGTCAAAATAACAAGTCATCTTTCGCTTGATTCAAGTCGAGCTTGATTTGCTGAAAATATTGGTCAGAAAAGAACATTTTTCAGGAAGGTTTGTGGCTTTGAATGTGTAAAGGGAAGAAACCTAGCTCTCATCAATCCTTCACTGGCGATGCTGGCCCACCACCCAAGCAGGGGTCAGCTTGCCCGTATGTGTGACGCACAGGAGCCCATGGAGAAGGAGGGTAGGTTGCTTATCTGTACCTGCCGTTCTTCAGGTGGTCATTTGTGCCCACCCTGGGGGGTCAGGAGTGGCTCAGTGTCTTTTTTCCTTGTGCTGTACTGACTTCGTCAAAAGTGTGGTCTGTCCTACCAATCCTCCCGCAGTCCCAGACCACCTTGAATTGAGAGAGAGGGTCAGAATCCCTCCCTTACAGGATGGAGGCCGGGTGGGGAGCTCTAATCTTAGCCTGCAAACCTTCCCGCTTGCCCTGGGTGTGCATGCACCGGTGGCCACTTGAGGACGGTCTGTTTCGGGCACGTGACCCGACTTGGTTGTTCCCAGGCACTTTCTTGTCTTTGGCCAAGCCTGTTCTGCAACAGAGGGTCCTCACCCCATGGAGAGGAGGCCTCTGAAATGAGGGAGGGGGTCACTCGAACAGGGATGCAGCTCCCCATGGATCCTACTTGGTGTCATTAAGGGTCCCCACCCACCAAGGGCCCCAACAACCCCTGGAGTCGTTCTGAAGCTTTCCTCTGATTGACTTTCAGATCCGGACTCTGCAGGAGCAGCTGGAGAACGGGCCGAACACCCAGCTGGCTCGCCTGCAGCAGGAAAATTCCATCCTTAGAGATGCCTTAAACCAGGCCACCAGCCAAGCCGAGAGCAAGTAAGATGGGGAATATTTTGGTGTGTGTGGAATCGCACGACGGCAGGGCGGATAGAGGAGACTTTGGGGGTCTCTCCTGTCCCTGTCCTAGACCGCTCCTCCCTGATAGCAAAGTCAAAACCAGTTCAGTTGATGAATTGCATCACAAAAATGGCATGTAATCACGCCGATACCTTGAGCGGCCATCTGTTTTGTTGGGTGGAACCCAGAAAGATTCTGCCTTTATAAATAGTCTCTGTTTTACTGCCTTGGCATGAATCTGGCATAATCTAAATATGTAATAAGTATAGATACGGGTATCTAATTATACGTTTTTGAGCACAACACCATGAAAAGTGGCATTAATAACAGTGGGACAAAGAAAGTGGCATTGCCAGAAGTTTGCAAACACAGTTTTTGAAATTGTAACGGTGGCTGTTGTGCGGTCTTCTCCATCGTTTGAGACAGGCTGCAAAAACCCGGGTCCAATAGGAAGGTAACTATTTTATTTGCTAGGTTGTGTAACAGGCTTCAGGAGGAAAATACGGCATTATTGCAGGTCGAATGCGGATAATAATAGCACTGAGATGCTTGCTTCAATTTTTCAGCCTTCTTGCATTATTCTGAAACGCCAGCTGCCTTTCTCGAATGTTTGCCTCAGGCAGCTGCAAGCAGTCCTCACTATTTCAGAGGACTTCTCTACTTGAGGCATTTTAATCCCCAGTCTGTGTTGCTGATAACTCCCTCCAACAGAAAGTGGAGGAAGGAACTAGAGGAATGGTGATCCTTGACTTGATTCTCACCACCAGGGAAACCCTAGTGGGCAAGTGGCAGTGGCAGGAACTCTGGGGTCAAATGGCCGTGCCACACTTGAATCCTCGATTCTAGAGGAAGCAATAGTCAAGTTTACCCAGATACATGCCCTCGATTTTAGGAATGCTGATTTTAATAAACTCAGAACCATGGTAAGTAAAGTCCCATGGCAAGTGCCTCGAATGAGAGAAGGAGTCCAAGACAGGTGGGAATGTTTAATAAAAGTGTCCTAAAGGCACAATCACAAACAATGCTAACAAGGAAAATGGGCGGAAGACAACAGAAGATGCCCCTGCAGCTTCACAAAGCGTAGAGATGAGCAGCAGCCAATTGCGCATCTACCTGAATGAGATTCAAGCCCGCTTGACACAAACCCGTTTCCTTGTGCTTCCGTGACCCAGGCAAAATGCTGAACTGGCCAAGCTGCGTCAGGAATGTAGCAAGCTGAGCAAAGAGTTGACTGAAAAGTCGGAGGCGCTTCAACAGGCGGAAGAACAGAAAAGCACCCTGCAGGGGAAGGCCGCTACCTTTGAGAAGCAGATTTCCCAGCTCCAGGTGAGTTGAAAGACGCCGCCACCTGTGCTGGTCCAAACGCAAACCAGGCGAGGCACCCTGGATGCCCCAGTGACTCTGCCAGCAGCTCGGGGTTTGCCTGTGTTTCCGTATTTTACTCTTTCCATTTTATTGTACACCAGTCACTGAGTGGAGGGCAATCGAAACATACTCCAACATAAGAAAAGCCCTTGAAATAAATGCATTCCTCCTCGTGGCACAGGTTTCCTTCGTGCCCTGCAGAATGTGGCCGGGTCTTCCTGTGAGAACGTCCATGTGGCTGGGCTGCCTGAGAACTCCCTGTCCTCCAGGGTCTTCTCCAACGTGATACCATTCAGAGGACTGTGCCAGCCCTACCAGCGAGGCTTTTTCCTCAAGCAGCTTGGGTGGGGTGTCTTGGAAATGCACTAAATTGTTAAATATTTAATTTACGCTGATTATAACGACCAGAGAAAGGGCGATTTTCTGCCTAAATCATGCAGTTGGCCTTGGACACAGCCTGACCTGAGTGGCAGGAACATGTGAGAATTCCTGATCCGCTCCAGGTGGCAAACAATCTCTCACCTATTAAAGCTGCATCTTGCCAACTTCTGAACCTTCTGTGAGTGCAGATGCTGGACATTCGGAACCATTCGGAACCATTCGGCTGCTGGTATTCCCAGGTGCAACAGCCCAAGACTTGGGATTAAGCAGGATTGCCCTGAGAAGGGCAAAGGGGCTTTTGAGCATTGCTAGTACTCCCTGTGGCTGCGATACGCCCACCAGGAGCAGCTGTTGGTGGGAGCGGGAGAGACATCGCTGAAAGTGCCCCTTCGTACAAGTGGGGGGGGGAGGACGTCTTGCAGGGCGGGCTTGAGTTGGCTCGTGCGAGGACCAGACGGGATGGGCGTGTCCCCCGGGGACAAGGAGCTGCCGAAGCGAGAGGCCAAGCTTTCCACCGTGCAGCTGTCCCTGGCGCATCGGCGCATCCGTTGCCGCAGAAGCATCGCTAATGGGTGTCGCCTCGCCTTTCGATGTTCTCGGATCGTTCAGTCATGCAAATGAGCCCTGAGCCCAAAGTCAAAGATAGCAGCTCTGTCCTGTGTGTCTGTGATGGGGCTGGAGAAGCTGACCCTGAGTTTTGTGAGCCGCCCAGACAACTTTAGCTGTTGGGCAGTACAGAAAAATAAAGCAAGGGAGCCAGCAAAGTCCGTGTGTGTGTGTGTGTCCATGCACGCACAGCTTTGGTTGCCGAAAACCAGAGACTTGGCTACAGCCCCTACTTCCTGATAAGTACTGGGGCTGAGTGTGTGACTTGCCAAGAACCTGCTCCCAAACTGCTGTCTGACCCAAACCAGTAGTTGTAGGTCCAGTTCGGCCCAGTATACATGCCGTTGCACCACTGTGATCTCCATCAAGGACACCCACCTTCTCTATTTCCGGATCACCACCACTCCCTCACCGGCACGTCCAAGGTGTTGGTGAGGTGGTGCCTTTTCCCCATCCTTCTGCAAAAAATCCACTCCTGACTACCTTCAGTTTTCTTCATTTCAGCCATAGCATTTGGGTGTCCTTCCTGCTCTTGCTGTGAGTCAGAAATCCTCACAATTCGTGCCGCGATTACGGGGGAAGCCAGAGCCAGGTGGCCAAACAGCAGCGGTTCACCTTTGCTCTTTTGCTGCCTTGTTTGTGAACTTCCCCGAGGCCTGGCTGGCCGTGACTGATAACAGAACGCGAGGCTGGGTGGACTTTGGGACATCCTCCCGACGCAGCTGCTCTGCACTTCCATGAAGAAAACCTGCCTGCTTGCGGCGCATCCACACGTGCCAGACAGGGGGCTGCCATGGGAGTTTGGTCCTGTGCATTGCGGTGCAGCTTTGCACTCCTGCTCTGCTGCGAGCTCACACCTCGCACCCGGGGGCCCCTCCTCGCCTTCTTTCTCACCGACTTCTGCATCTCAGAAGCTGGAAAGCGGCAGGAATTGCCGCTTCCCAGGGAGCCTTCGCTGTGTCAAAGGGATGTGCACGTTTCACGTGTGGCCACATGTTCTGCTGCCCCGACCGTCTGCGTGTTTTCATAAGAGCAGGGAAGGGGCTCCAGGGCCCCGCGGTTCCCTCTCGTGACGCGACTGAGGCGAGGCAGATGTGTAAACGGCGGCTGCCCTTGCCCTTGCCTTGCCTTGCAGGTGTCCCAGAAGGAGAACGAAGCCCCCCTGCAGAAGAAGTTGGACGACACTCGCGAGGAGCTCGGCAGGTCTCGGGCCCGTTGTCAGAGCCTGCAGGCAGAGCTGGAAATGGCCAGAAAGCAGCAGCAGACCAGTTTTGCTGGTGAGACCACGTTCTGTTTTGCATGGGAGACTGAGATTTGCTTGCCTCTTGGGAGACGTGTAAGCTTTTTTTTCTGTACTGAAGGCCGTATCTTGAACTTTGGAGGGTCCACAGCGTGGGCTCTGTCTGTCTCGGCCCTCACCTTTGGTAAAGCCATTTCCGAATGGACACAGGCAGGGTCCTGAACCCATCCACCCCTCTTCCTGAGCACGCGTCTCTTTAAGAGCGTAACATGAGCAAGGCCTTCCCTTTTGATCTGGCTAATACGGGAGCTTGATCAGTCTCTAGGTCAGTCCTAGAGGAGATCAACCCTGACTGCCCTTTAGAAGGCCAGATCCTGAAGATGAAACTCAAGTACTTTGGCCACCCCATGAGAAGGAAGGACTCCTTGGAGAAGAGCCTGATGCTGGGAACAATAAATGGCAAAAGAAGGAGGGGACGGCAGAGGATGAGGTGGCTGGATGGAGTCACTGAAGCAGTTGGTGTGAGCTTAGGTGGACTCCGGAGGAAGGTGGAGGACAGGAAGGCCTGGAGGAATGTTGTCCATGGGGTCGCAGTGGGTCGGACGTGACTTTGCGACTAACAACAACAACAATATGGGAGTTTATTGGCCCTTCATGTGAGATGAGAGGGACAGAAGATTGGTACAGCTGCATGCTGGACTGTTGTGGATGAAAGCCACTGGGTCTCCAAAAGCGGGCACCCAGAACGTCTGCTCCAGAAAGTGTTGCCTCCGTTATTCAGGACTTTAACCTGTTGAGCAAGAGCTTGCCTGAAGATGACCCAGACTGGACATTATATCTCCGCTCTTACAGCAAAGCAGGTGTGAGCATGCAGAAAGTCTTTGTAGGACCCAACTTCAGAACAAGCCAAGATAGTTAACCAACTTCCTATTGTGGTTTTTTATATCCTGGTTTGTTCCAAAGCTGGTAACCCAAGATTCCTGATTCAGATGAAATGAGAAACTGTAGTTTGAATCATAGAGTTGGAAGGGGCTGTGTAGGCCATCCAGTCCAAGCTCTGCTCTGCGCAGGAGTCCTGTTTCAAGCATCCCCACCAGATGGCTGTCCAAGTCTTCCCTTGAGTTTCTGCATCAGTGAAGAACCTAATAACTCCCTGGACAGCTTCGCCCAGTGTCTGACTCCTCCGACAATTAGGAGCTTTTTCCTGAAGTTCAAGTGAGTTAGAGGCTTCCTGGCTTAATGCAGCTTGTGACAAGGGGGGGGGGGGCAAAGGGGCTGCATGCACAGGCAAAGGTTGGTGACATACCTCAGCCAAAGAAAGATGATCCACCTGCAGCCGCCACCTTGTTGAGTATTAAAGTCTGTAGGTGACTTTGTGGTCTCTGCAGAACATGGGAGAAAGTGCTTTGTTCTGCATTGCCCCCAAATGATGGAATGCGCACCTCAAAATTTAAGATTGTTCCCATTGTTTTGGCCTTCAAAAGGGGTTGGAGGTGCTGTGGGGAACTGTGTTCAGTCAGTCCTTTAAAATGTGCAGTTTCATTGATCTTGTTCTTATTGTTTTACTGTTGTATTCTTTCGAAATGCGAATTGCTTTTAGTAGAAAAGGTGGTATTTCAGTGTAAATAATAAATAATACTTAAAGCAAACACTGATGTCACATTCGGGAGATACAACCTGCATCCTGGGATCAGTTTTTACGTTGTCGAAGTGGCTGTGCAACTGCAAGGCGAAGGGGTCTCCCGCTGCCTCTTTCTGACCAGCATGTTTTTTGTTTCCCATTCGTTAACAGAGCTTCAGTCTAAGTTGCTGTGCTCTGAAATGGAGTTGAAGGGAAAGCTGGAGGAACTGAACAGTTTACAGATCCAGCTGCCAGCAGCCACTTCCAAAAGTGTGCAGCTGGCCGAAAAGGTTGAATTGACTGAAGCCCTCCTGGAGGCAAGCCAAAGGAGAGAAGCGGAGAAAACCAGAGCAGTGCAGGTCCGCGCCCTCCCTGCCTGCCGCTCCTTCAAGGGCTCTTCTTTATCATACAGTATTTTCACGGTGCAACAGCACCACCTGTCGCACTGCTTGCTATATTTTGGGGACAGGTGGCGATTACAAGACACTAATTGACTTTTCTCTTCCCACCGCTCACCCGATTAACAGGAAGCCAACCAAACAGAAGACACTCTGATGCAGTTACGGTAAGGCTGCTAGATTTTAAAATATCAGGTTTGGGACACTAATAAACTACCTCTGCTATTGGCGCAAATGTATCGTTACTGCTTTACACACTCGCACACGCACATTTGTGTGTACTGGGATGGCTCAAGAAGCTCTTCCGAGAGTCACAGGGCACTGCAAGGACATTGTGGTATAAACCATGCATTAACCTCCAAGAAAAAGGCAGGTAATGAAAGAGATGTAAAAGATGCTCACTTCCTGGCAAATAGATGGGGAAGAAATGGAGGTCGTGACAGATTTTATTTTCCTGGGCTCCAAGATCAGTGCAGACGGGGACTGCAGCCAAGCAATGAAAAGACGCTTGCACCTTGGGAGGAAAGCTATGGCAAATCTAGACAGCATACCAAAAAGCAGAGACATCACCCTGCCAACAAAAGTGCGTATCGTCAAGGCTGTGGTTTTCCCAGTTGCAATGCGTGGCTGTGAAAGCTGGACCATAAGGAAGGCTGAGCGCCGAAGGATTGAGGCCCTTGAATTGTGGTGCTGGAGGAGACTCTGCGAGTCCCGTGGACCGCAAGGCGATCCAGCCGGTCAGTCCTAGAGATCAACCCTGACTGCTCTTTAGAAGGCCAGACACTGAAGATGAAGCTCAGATACTTTGGCCACCTAATGAGAAGGAAGGACTCCCTGGAGAAGAGCCTGATGCTGGGAACAATAGATGGCAAAAGAAGGAGGGGACGGCAGAGGATGAGGTGGCTGGATGGAGTCACTGGGGCGGTGGGTGTGGGCTTGGGTGGACTCCGGGGGATGGTGGAGGACAGGAAGGCCTGGAGGAATGTTGTCCATGGGGTCGCAGTGGGTCAGACACGACTTCGCAACTAACAACAACAACAATGTAAAAGAGCATGTACATCAGAAAATATTGCAAGAGTGTTCCAATACAAAGTTTATCTATATTATAACTTCCCTCCAAAACTACTGGATTGTGCCAAAACACATGCTTAGAAGAAGCATTGGCAGTATTACACTTCCAGCAGCAAGTTAACTTGGTCAAACCCGTACTAACACGATGTTGTGGTGTCCAAGCAAAAGAAGTTTCTGTAGGATAAGGTGTAACCTAGGGCAAAGGCAGGTATAGACGTTAATGTGTCAAACGATTGCTTGAACTGAGTAGGATTTTCCAGTCCCCTGTTCTGTTCCTACATTGGACCAGGTGGATCGTATTTATGCACTGGTGATAATTTATAAGCAGCAATCCTGTCGACCGGCTTCCTTTTCCTGGCATTTTACGAGGGATCAAAAAGGTTTGCTTCTTTGACCAAGCCGGTTTCTGCATCCAGAGAGAAAGCAAAACGGGGTGCAGGGAAGGAGAGGAAATAGGGGAAGAACAAAGGCTGAGGCTGGGAGTGGGGGAAAGCAGCCAGTTCAAGAGGTGGAGGGGAAGAACAGAGGGCAGAGTGCACAGCTGTTTTCTTTTCAATTTGTTGTGAAATCGTACTTTAAAATTCTGGGGTAGACAAAGACAGGTGTTGCAGAATCTCTTCTTGCTGCAGGCATCACCGAAGGATCCGGTTCTCAACTGGGTGAGCACATCCGGAAATGGAGCTTCCCTAACAAAGTTTCTTTCCGTTTCAGGTTCGAAGGTTCATTGGAACAGCTCTCCGCGTTAGAGAACGAGGCTGCAGAACTAAGAGATGTGGTGGAACACCTGAAAATAAAAAACAGGGTGAGTTACCACCACAGCAAATGAAAACTAAACTAAGTTACCAAGAGTATTCCATATCAATGCAGTATTCTTCTCCCATGTTTCATGGATGGGGGTTACTTTTCAAGTGGAGTTGTGGGAATCCATGGTGGTTCCAAAGTTTTGGCCGTTCCATCCAAGAGGGACCACTTGGCTGCAAATATCACTGAATGGCTGAATCTCTCACGCTTGAACAACCTGAGATGAGCGGCCATGACTTGCAGGCCCTGGTAGGTTAGTCAGAAAACAACACGGCCCTTGGGTCAAGAAGGTGCCCACGCTCTGGCTGTCAGGTACAGAAGCTCTTTCCATGCAAAAGGCAGAGGACACAGAACATGCAAATAATCTTTTGGACGTTGCGGGCAAGGGCAAAGTCAGTGGACACAGCTTTATCAGCTGAGATAAACTCCCCAGGAAGGTTAGTGTGGCCCAGGTGGCAAAGTGGCGTTGGCGTTGGCTTGGCAGCTCTGTGTGGCCCGATTCCAGAGATCGGGATGTCTCGCAGCGCCTTCCAGAGTGCAACGAAACGGGCACCTGCAGCAACGGTGCACCTGAAGCCCTGCAAGGCTGAGGACCGGCCCTGGAGCTCAAAGCCCCCGGGGCTGAAGCAGCCACATCACTGGGGACGGGGAGCCCCAAAGCAGCCCCTGCGGGTGCCTCCGACCGCATTCAGCCGCAGGAGGCGTGTGCCCCCCAGGCAGGATGGGACTCTGAGCTACAGGGCCGGGGTGGAGAGAGAGCTGCCGCACCGAGGCATCGCACGACCCGTTCTAGTGGAACTTCTTTTTCATAAAATGTGAAGCGTCCAACCACAGAAACAAAATTAACAGAAAAAAATCACTTCTTTTCAGAGCTCTGTAAAAGGTGTCTTCTAATTAAAACATTGGAATGTGCAATCATTTACGTTTAATGAATCCGAAAGCGATAAGGGCAGAAACGAGGTGGATGCCTGGAAGCTGTCCCAGATAGCGTTTTCCTTTGCAAGGACTCTGTGGGTGGGCTGTTCCCGCCACCGGCTGGGACGTCCCTTTCCGAGCAAGAGTCCCGTCCTGTGCGTTCAGACTCTGGTGTGCGGCGTGCGTGGGCTGGGTGCCAGGCCTGAGGGCCCTCCTGACCTCTTCCGCTCTGTTAATGATTCTGCTGCACTGAGGAGTCGCTGGGAGCTTATCTGTGAAACTCTCTTTCAGGACATGTCGCTGTACGTAGAAGCCGCCAGTGAGGCGCGGAGCAGCCTGCAGGCCGAATGCGACCAGTACAGGGCCACCCTCGCCGAGACAGTGAGTGGCGCTGCCCCTCCGCGGCTGCACACGCGGGCACATCCGCTGGCTCCAGCCTCATTCATTGATCCCAAGCTTTTCTAACCCATCCGCCACTGACGCCTCGGGGCAGCTTGCAACAGAAGGGCGGATAAAACGAAGCCAAGCAAGCACAGCCTCTGGCGACTGGAGATAATAGAGCCCTATTTAAAACCACTCAACTTTAAAACGATGGGAAAAATAAATACGTTTTCACCCGGCACCAAAAGGATAAAGCATTGGCGCCAGGCGGGCCTCTCTGGGGAGTGCATTCCATGGCTGGGGCGCCACCACAGAGAAGGCCCCCCTCTGGGTAGCCACCCTCCTCCTCTCCTTCAAGGAGGGCTCCCTGGGCAGGGCCTCCGCCTCCGCGCTCAAGGGGCGGGAGGGCGCATGGGGTGGGGGCACTCCTCCGGGCATCCCGGACCCAAGCTGGCTGCGATGCTGGTGAGGCCGTGGAGTCCATCCAGGCAGGGGCAGGAAGGTGGGTTTGGTCCAGTCATGGGTCCAGAGCGCAAGTGGTCTTGGTCTCCCGTGGCCTTTATGTCCCACGCCCAGCGGGACCACCAGTTTTGCTCACAGGTGCAGCTTCTTGGCACTGTTGCCCGACATTGGCAAAGGCTGCCATAGGCTGCCGCCTTTTCCCCGTTGCTTCATCGCCCCAGCTTCTCTTTCTCCATTTTTCAGGGGAGGGGGGAGATGGCTGTGATTGCAGTCGCCACCCAATGCAGAGTTTGTGACCTGAGTCAACATTTTTATAAAATTTTTGTTTGCAACCCAATTTGGTTGTGAACTGAGGTGTTTGTGAGCCGAGATACCACCGTAGTTAAAAATAATAATAAATAGATATACCAGGATAGGTTAATGCTCCTTCACAATTTGTGCACGTACTTGGCTGCGCTTGCCGCTACCCATGGGGGAGAGAATGAGGGGACTCCCGAGCTATAATTCAAGCCCCACGAATGCTCCTCTTTTTTGCTTCTGCGCTGTGTTTCCGAGCGACAGTTGCTGGTTAATCGCTCGGCGTCTTGCACTGTTCTCACGAGTCGTGGGTCGCTGCTAAAACACCCAGGAAAACCTTCAGTCTGCAGAGCAGAATAAACCTGCGGGTAAGCCGAGCCCGTCCTTCATTGGCAGCTCACCTGCTGTGCTCTGCTTCCTTCCCGAAACAACAGGAAAGGATGCTGAAGGCGTTGCAGAGGAGCGTGGAGGAGGAGGAGCAGGTGTGGGCGGCAAAGGTGTCTGCCTTGGAGGACGCGCTGCAAAAGGTATGGCCGTGCTCAGGGTCTCTGTGGACGTGCCGTGCCGTTGTCCAGCGCCCTGTCTGTTCTCGTGGCTGCCAACGTGGCACTCCGTTCTGCATTCACGTGCGTCGATGGTCTTGCCAGTCGCCCAGCTTGGACATCGTCTGCAGCCGGAGCTCTCCGTTCGCAATGGGCACCAACCCCAGGCGTGTTCAGGCAGGAAAGAGGCAGAAATCCCAGGCATTCGCCGGGGACAGTGGTCGCTCTTGTCATCGTGTTGCGTTATGTTCCGATTAGCGTTAGAGTCAGATCCCAATAGCCGCTGGAACGCCTGTATTTCCAAAGGAAGGCCATCCTTGTGTTTTTGGCCTGCGGGCAAGCAGCAGCGGTGCGTGAGTTTACTGGCATCGTAAAGCCCGGCTCACTAGGATCCCTCATGAGTTTCAGCCCAGCCAGCCTTCCTTGCAGCATTTCTGCCAACATGCCCCCGATTTCTTCAAATCAGTTAGATCCCAGGTCTTTTTATAAGTTGCGTTTTCCCCCACAATGTGTGTCTCTACCCAAACCCTGAGATCATCACGGAGTCCTTCCCAAAGAGCCCTTCTGAAGGAAGCAAGGCCACTCAGGGGCAGGGCCCCCACCTATGGGATCAGCTCCCCAGAGAGGCGCACCTGGCGCCCACTCTTTCCTCCTCTCAGTGTCAGGTGGAAACCTCCTTATTCTCCCTGTATATTAAGTTAGACTTCCATCTTTCACCATATTTTCACTGTACCTCTGAGATGGTTCTCGCTGTGGCCGCTGGATTCCTGGATGATTCCCAGGACAACTCTGTGAGGGCCGCGCTCTTTCAGGAAGAGGGAGTGAGCGTGGGGTCCTCCTGCCGGGTGGTGGAGTGGCCGGAGACACCACCCTTTTGTGCAGTCCATTCTTCCTTGCGAGAGGACACGGAGAGCGATTTCTTCCTCCCTTTTCAAATGCCTTCGGTCTTGGTGGCCTCGCACTTTCACCTACCTGACTGAGCGAATGAGCGCACGAGAGTGGAGGAACCCTGGAGGGCTGCTCTCCTGCCGCTCAGAAGGCCTTTCGCGGTCTGGCTGGGCTGAGTTAGGTCCTGGTTCTTGCCTATTTGTGCTGGGAGAGCAGAGGTTCCGCCGAAAGCATTACGCCCCGTATGAACTCACTCTGTGCCTGTGAACAGGCACCTGACGGGTGGCAGTTTGCAGGCATGCAAAATAATCTTCTTGCGCACAAGGGCGTGCCGAGCACACCCACACGCACAAGTGGAAGGGGCTCTGCAAAGGATGCGTGCTAATTGTCTCATTTCTGGTTCTTTGGGTGCGGATGTGATAAATGCTCCATTTAGTCCAAAGACCAAATGAAATGTCTCGAAGATGATGTGGAAAAGTTAAAGGTGGAACTGCAGAACACAGGCAAGGTAAGGACTCCTGGAGTGGGGTGGGGCGTGGGGTGGGGCGGGGTGGTGGGGGGAATGATAGAACCCTGAGTTAGATAGGGAATGGCTGTTTTGTCTGTCTGGTCCCATTCTCTTTCCTCTGAGTGGTCACAGCTCAGCTCCAGGATCCCAGAAGGACAGCTGTCCATCTTCCACTTTTGCCTTTTAACTGGAGTGGCCAGGCATTGAATGTAGACCTTTCCACAGACTGTGTGTTTTGCTACTGAACTTTGGGCCCTCCCAGCGGAGCTCAATCCCGCACCCTTTCCAAAGAGACTTGGGATCTGGTGTTCAGTGCTAAATTTCCACAGCTTAATCATACCTTCCTGGCAGAATGTGGCTGCTTTGGTTTGGGGATGGAGAGGAACTTGAAAAGGAAGTGTCCGTTTCCGTCCATAAAAAGGTAATAACTAAATCACTTGAAAGTCCTGAACTTTTGGTGAAGGACGGGATATAATAGCTTTCGATAAACAGCAAACAAAAATTCAAGGGCAATATATGAAGCCTTGTGTCCAGGACTGATTCCTTGATCTGGGTTCAAGATCACAGGTTCCTAGAATAAAAGAAAAGCGGGGTCCATCTGTCTTCCCTAGACGCCAGCAAGCCAATGCGTTGCTGGGATGCGGAAGGCAATTGCAAACCAGCCTTGTGCTGAAAGGACGGATGCCTCCCACAATCCGTACCCTCCCAAACTGCTGTCATCTGAGTATCTCTCATTCCCGCCCCCATCTCGGAAACAGTTGAAGGAGTGCGTGTCTCTCTTGGAAGCCCAGCTGGAAAACCACTTGGCGGCTGCGAACCTGGAGCGGCAGCGGTACACCAAAGACATGGAAGCACTGAGTGTCTGTCTCGCCGAGCCTGCAGGCAGCCGCGGGGGGGGGGGGGGGGGGGGGGGGGGGGATCTTTGGGGCACGTGGTGCAGATGACATGCCGAGCTTGAGGACCCTCCTCCGCTCTCGGGCCCTGTGGGGCGAGGGGTGCGTTGCTCGGTCATGGGCGTTCTGCTCCGTCTAGCCCGGAAGGCTGCTGTCAACGGGGTGAAGGCGGGCGGTTTTTCCAGTCCCTTTGGGAGGTTGCTGCTAGGGAAGGACACGAAATTCTCCCCGCAGCCCCTGCACATCCGCTCGGTTACGAAAAGTCTTTTCCGAGCCTGGCTGCTGGAGGGTTAAAATCAGAGCGTGGCAAGTGCTCAGCTTGTAGTCCTGGGGGAACGGGCTTGGAAGGATCCGCAGAGGCACGGCTCGGAGTCCTTCCCGTGCGAACCTTGGCACGGTGCCAGCAGCGACTGCCTTTGTCCCGCTTCTCCAGCGAGGACCTTCTCTGTTGTTGGTTGGAGGGTGCAGCTGAGCTCTCCCAAGGGAAAAGGGAGCGGTGGGGAGCAGGTCTGGCCCCCCCAGCGTCTCAGCTCGTGGGAGAAGTCGGCCTGTGCGATGCAGCACCGCCCTTTGCTCATCCCCCTGGGGGCCAGGATGGTCACGGTCGTCCACAGGCCGCCTCTTTCTCCAAAAGGCCTCATGTGCAGTCTTGGCACGGTGCCTGCACCTGGGGTTTCTTTCCATTCTGCAGAAGCCTCAGTTCTTTCTCCTGTAGGGAATTCTGCCATTCTTGTCCCACTGTCTCTATGAGACCTGTGGAGTATAAGAATTCCTGAAAGTCCCACAAGAAGGGCTTCGGAAGGATCACGGGATGAATGCTTCAACCAGCATCTCTCCTGGTGAAGGCTGTAGCCCACAAGCCTGTCCCAGAAGAGGGCAGAACTGGCCTGATGATTTGGAAGTTGCGGAATGTCCACCTCTTCCAGTCCTGGGCGCAGTGGCTTGGGTGCTGAGGGGTGACTCTCCCCGAATCCCACTTTTGGGGACCAATAATTGGGACAAAAGGTACCTGGATGAAACATGCACAGTCTAGTGTTGTCCCCAACAACAGATGTGGCTTGTGTTACCGATGACACAATCATCGTCTCCCAAAAGGTTTTTCAGGCGTTGCTCCCTCCGAACACGCCAGCATCGCGTTGTTTGTTTTGCAGATGCCACAACTATTGTAAGGTGTCCGGAGGGCCAAATCGGGTTCTTGGACTTTTGGACATTTATCTAGAAGGATTTTGTCAATGGATTAAGCAACTGACAGTGTCCTGGTCCTAGTTCCAGTTCACTGTACAACTGGATGCCGGAAAGATAGCAAACAGGTTTTTTTCCAGTCAGATGCGAGCAGAGGGTAATGTCCGTTCATCTTCAAATAAATTGCATTTAGGTACTGATTTGTCTGTGTTTTAGCTGAGGCAGCTGTTGTCCGAATCCCAAGAACATCTGGATGCAACCAAGCAAGAAGCACTCAAGAAAACTCACGAGCTTGTACAGGTAAAGGGATGGCGATTGAGTGGAGGAGGAGATTCATGTAACCCCCTTGAGATCCTTGGAAGGAAAGAAGGTGGGATAGCAGAGAAAGAAATGAAACGAAAAATACCGCAGTGGTTAGTTCTTCTTTGTGGTCTCTGCGCATCACACCCTTGGGCTCAGCACCTGCCTCGGGCCTCTTGTGGGGAAAGCTCCTGAGCAGCCTCGCCTCGGAGGAAGCCCCCTCCCTCTCGCCGTACCTGGAAGGGGTTCCTGTCCCGTTCCTCTCCGACCGCCGTCCTGGGCGCCTCGGGACTTTCCCCTGCTGGTCACTGTTGCTTTCCCGACTCATCCTTTCATTCTTGTTCTAGTTTCTACTACAATTCTTGTTCTCACTTCTCACCTCTCTGTAGTCCTCCGCTGACGACACCTTCCCATCTCCAACTCGAAGGTAAGCTCGCCAGTTGCCCACACGTGTGATGCGCGGAGACCACCACGAAGGAAGGCAGGTTACCTACCTGCAACCGTCGTTCCTTGAGGGGCCACCTGTGTGTCGGGTTCACACAACCCGCCCACCAACCCCTGCTCTGACCCTCTGCAGTCGCTCGATTCCGTTGTTCTTGGGCGCGAGGTCAGCCGCCCGCCTGCCTCCCCTCAGCTCGGAGGCCACACTGCCGATCTCCGCGGATCTGAGGAAGTGCCCAGAAGTCCTTCCCAGATTAAGCAGGGCCCGTGTGGTGGAGCGGCCCAGAGCCCAGGTTGGGGATTCAGGGAATCCGGGCTCTAGCCCCCGCTCAGCCAACTGGGTGATGGTGGGTCAGCCCACGATCCTCAGCCCTGCCTGCCTCACAGGGTTGTTGTTGCAGGGATAAGATTGTGAGCCAGATGAAGAGAATGATGTAAGTTGCTTTGTGTTCTTTAAACAAATGGGAAATAAATCTAATAAAGTGGGATATCAATCTAATAAGTTAATAAACCTTTTGTAAATATCTGTCGCTGTCTAGCTGACTTTTTAGCAGAGTTCACATTCTACAGTATTATATTTTATTTAGTATTGCTTGTACACAAAGGTGTGTATTTTCAAGGGGTGTTGCATTTCCTCAGTGATGATGGATAGAAATGAAGATGAAAAACGGTGCGGGAAGGAGGAGAGTTGTGGATCTAGGTTGTGTCGAAGAACATGGAGAAAATAAAGAGCTGTAGAACAAGAGGAGGGAAGGAACGACTGTGAAGAGAATTATGTGAAAAAGGCACACGGGACGGAAGAGGTGGAACAGCCAGGGCACCTATGTACACTCGGCAATGCGTGGGGGGATGAACAGAAACACAGGAACAGAGCAAGGCGGAAGGGATCTCCTGGGCCATCTAGTCTGACCCTGGCTCCAGCCGGCTCCTCTCATGACATGCCTCCCCTGTCGATCAAGCCAATTTCCTGCTCTCTGGTTCTTACGTTTCCCATGTGCGAAAGCGGCTCATAGATTTTCATTTCTGCAGTAAACACCAGAACTGAATTCAAGATATGTTGAGCCCGAGTTTTTGGCAAATCCTTAACTTCATGGTTATACATTCTAGCTTCCTAAGTGACTTTTGCTGGTTTTGCACTTGAGCTTTGCTTTCTCACACTCGGTTTTGTTTCTGTTCCTCAAGAATTTGGCTGACTGATCTTTCCATGTGTTGAAACTGCAGGTTCAGGATTCAGTGCGCAGCTTGCAAGTTGAATTGGAGAAGCTGAGGCTTGAGGGGGGAACGGCTGCCTCGGCCAAAGAGGAGGTTCTCCAGCTTCAGGTAAAAGTGGCATCCCATTTTTAGATTGCTGGACAGTGACAGGAGCAAGAGCTCATTGCTCTTCCCGGGCTTTTCAGAAATCCCTCGCGTCTGTTGCCCGAGAGTAAAGCTGGCTGTTACTCCCAATTGCAGGGAACACTGGACAAAGAGAAGAAGTTAACAAAGGATTTGGGATGTGCGGCTACTAAACTAAAGGAGCTTTTGACGGTCACCCAAGAGCAGCTGGCCAAGGAAAGAGAAACTGTGATGAAGTTGCAAAAACAGCTTGAGGAAAAGGTGCTGATACTTATTTGATTTTTTTAAAAAATTACTCCATTCTGGCCTACAAGGGATTTAAACCAACCATGACTGCTTGACAGTGTCATTTCCCCCTCTTTATTTATTGCATGGCACATTCACATCACACTTGAATAAAACACAGGCATAAAAACACGACATACACAATATAAGATCCAAAACAGTATAAACATCTATCTAAATTGCAGGTGGTTTTTCTTTTGCTTGTCACAACCAGGGACATCAGCAGACTCTTCTCCGTAAGCGCTACTTTGGCACTCGGTCACTATAGATCGGATGGCTTGTCTTTCGGTCCCACAATCACAATTCAGTGATGGTATTTTGCCCCAGTTATAAAGGGCAGCTGCAATTCTGCCATGACCGGTACACATTCGGTTTAGTGTTGTCCATCTTGCACAGGGCTGGTCAAATCCAGGTGGCTTTTCCAAGAAGCAGGAGACTGCAGTTTCCCATCTACTGTTGTTTCCACATATTGCAAATACTAAAAACATCTCCCGCTAGTGCCTTAGCAGTAGCAGCAGCCGGCCGTGCAAATCTCAACCTGTTCTGCTCCAGACAGGCGCTAGCACTCCAAATTGGCCCCTGGGAGTCCCACTTCCCCCCTATGTTTTTGTAACAAGGCCTCCTTGAACCAATTCTGCCTCCCCCGGCACAGAAAGCAGTTTGTGCCGTTTCTGGCAAATAGGGCTGCAGCTCCAGGGTAATAATTCTGCCGTGACGCATCGTTCCCTACCCTCTCTCGGCACCAAGCTCTTCTTTCTCTGTACTTCTGGCATGCTATGATTTTTAAACCGAGGCTGTTTAGAGGCCGTAGCCAACTCGTCTTTCTGTTTCAGGGAGAAAATGCAGAAAGCACCAAAGAAGGAACCTCCGTCTGAACCTCACGTCCCAGCCCAGGATACGCAGTTCTCCGTGCTAAATGCTTTACGTATTCCTAAAAGATGCGCCTCTGTGCTGCAGAGGACCACAACAAAGACAGTCGTGACCAGGAACTGCCCTGGTTTGCCAAAGGAATAAAAGCAAACTCTGCTAGAACCAGTCTGTAAACGAACCCTTCTTCACTCCGTGACCGATGCGCCGGTGCCTGACGGGGGGAGCGCTGCCCAGCGCCGTTCGCTCGCAGGAGAGGGGCA